ATGTTATATAATGTATCATAAAAACAATACACTGTATTACTTCCTAGCATGGTGATCATCATTTTGTTACTACATCGTTGCCAAATAACCCAAAGGAAACACAACCTGACAGAAATCAAATAAAACAATATTAAAGAAATTACACAGTTTCTATCGCTATCTCATAGTTGATGTGGGGGGGGTAGGAGAAGGGTAAAAAAATCCTTTTAGCTGCAGTGCGACAGTCTCCAATATGAGTGAAATGTTAACATTGATTAAGTCTCGATTTTTCTTCTGTCACAAGCTGCATATGGGGTGTCCAGTTTTTCTATTTACATGCAATGTATAAAAAAAAAAAAAAAACAAGTAAGTGCCTCAAAAGATGAATTCAAGGTAAAACACAAAGAGAAGTATTGTCCTTACCACCTCTGAACCAATTTTATCATTATGTGTTTAGAGGATGAACGAGGCCGTGGAGAACTGAATGTGAAAGGAGACAAAGGCATAAAGAACACATTCAGCACACGACAAAGTGCCAATCACTCAAAAATATGAACATACTATGCATCAAACTTACACAATTTATTATGTAATCAGAGTATCATGTTTGGTGTGCATTAGTATCGTTTGGAAAGAGGTGAGCTGGCAATCAGCCACAGCAGCTTGCTTTCATCAGCTGTAACATGAAGTGATGCTAGCAAGGCATTTAAGTGTTAAAAATACAATGTTCCCATAGCACCATAAGAGAGCACCTCGCACTGCTTGCTAAGAACTTCAAAGGGATTTTCTAAGGGTGTTGCACGGGATAAACCAACATTTAAACTCTCCAAAACTTTTCATTAGTGTAACGGTCACAGCTGACATTGTTCCTTGTGAAAAGTACAGTTAGAAATGTTGCCCTTGTTCTCCAACAACCAATTATGCAAACGCAATTAGATTTTATTCAAACTACTGCATCCATAACCTAAGAGTAACTTAACAAAATCGGCTTGCGGAAATATTGGCCTTGATATATAAATATGTCTTGTGACTTTACATTTCATTAAAGTCGTCAAAGCACAAAACAAAGTGAACAATGTACCCCCTTGTTTCCTTCACATTGGTAAGTCTCATTATAGTAGCTATTCAGTTAAACGTTGTAAGTCTGTAATGGTGGATTACTTACATGAAAACATTTAGCCAACTTGGAACAGGGCTTTATCGTTTGAATTAAAATGCAGTTAAGCCAAGATAAATGGATGAGTCTTTGTGTGATACTTTTAAAGCAATCTGGACAATAGTGTAAACCCAATAAGGTAGTAATCCCTGTTTATGCTCAGGTCCAAGGTTAAATAAATCTTCCGCATGACAGCATTTCATTTTCAGTAACTACAGTCTTACTTAGGTCAACATTAGCTTATCCAATAACAGGAATTGTGTCCCTTGATATAAAACATCTGTTTTCCCTGTTGGAAAGTACAGACATGCCAACATGTTTATTCTGTTTTCTACAATTTATTCAGTAGTTACTTTTACCATCATATAAATCTTTAAAATGGATTTTGCAAGAAAAAAACAAAACATTAGACATGAACACACCCCAGATGTTCTGCCGGAGCCTGATGGCTACTGAGGGTGTAATCATCTCCAAATGTGGCTCCAAAACATTATCGGACATACCACACAACCACCAATTCAATGTAGTGAATGCTTGCTCCGTGTTGGACATATCAACTTTTTGAGTTTCTTAAATTCTACGATTACGCATGCCCTTAAAAAACAAATAATGTTAACAGCAACAGAAAAGAACAGAGGCATACTTGGGAAACCAGTTGAGGCCCAGATGCTCCGTCTTGGAGAACAGAATCCTGTCATGCAGCTCGTACAGTGGTCTCCAATTCAACTGAAGGTCCTCTCTTGACAGTAGTTCCCTTTTCCTGTTTGATGAATCAGACAGATACATGAAAATAAACCCATAGATCCTAGCTTATCATATAGTGAGTCTGCAGCCGTTTACCATCTAATTTAACTTCAAATACAAAACTGACATGTGTACAAGTTGTTGTGTAAAACAGATGGGGAGCGCATTCTTACTTGAGGAGGTTGATAAGAAGCCGAGCAAGGCCCTGCATCATGCTGATTTCCAGCTTGGGGATGGTCACTAGCTCATAGAGCAACTTGATGAACAGCACATGGTCTTCTTTGCTGAACTTCCGCCCATACAGCCTCATGTACCTGAACAAGAAGTACAGATTTAGGGATAATTGCCTAAGTTTCAACATGCATGAGTGGTCATAGCCCCTGGGGGCAGCACAAACAAACACAAAAGTAAGGTGCTTATGCTCTCTCATGTGTAAAAAATATGACATGACAACACAAGTGACAAATTCAGGCAATCCAAATATACATTTTTTAATAGCACAAGTAAAACTGAATATACTTTGTTGAGACCTTCGAAATGTGGCACTACAATATGTTTATATCACTGTTAATATGCGGAAATACCAGTGAAAAGAATCTGGGTCAACCCAACAGTAAACTTTCCATCTCTCTGAGCCGGCAGTGACTCACTCTTGGACAGAGCCATGTGCCAGCATTGGGGACTGAAACGGATTAAAAACAGCCCAGCAACCAAGTACAACAAAATGAAACAACACTCCAAAGTAATCCACAGTCATATTGACAATATTTTTACTGGCGCAGTGTGATTCATTGGTAAATAACTGCCAGATAAATGCTAAATGGGGGTGAAATATAATGCTACAATTTTTTTTTGGGGGGGGTCATGAATAAGTATGACTTGACTTGTCAGTTTAGGCAGTCAACTTTCACATAATAGATACTAAAAACCAAATTGACACTGCACACCAGAAGGTGGATGAATAATAAGAATCCCTTGAAGCAACTTCACAGGAAACTCCTGAGCACAAAATACCAAATCATTTCTATTTTTACACATCTGGTATCTTGTCACCTGACGTGCTGCATCAAAAAGAAAATGTCAAAGCCGGAACCAGCGACAATGACCTACTGTTATGCCGCACTGCCTGGGTCAGGTTGTCAATTTGACACACTATTGCGCCGATTATGAAACCCAGACCGCCCCTAATCAAAAACACTGGCGAGTTTGTAGTGTTTTTTTTTTTTTTATATCTAGGTTAGCTAACATTTTAAATAACCCATGAACAACAAAGCGGGTTATTAAGCAACACAGGCTCTCACTACCCATCAGATAAGCTAAGGGCAGAGTTTCGGGGCCAGCCATTGATCAGACAGCTGCAACAAGAACAAACTGTTAGCCGAGCAAACAGTCTCCAATGTTTACTCCCACAGTCAAAACACACAAAGTACACAAGATAAATACTCCACAATACGTTATATAAGGTTACACAAAAGTTTCAAGAGGAGGCAGCCACTGTTAATGTTACGCGAGGATAATGAAAGATTAGGGTTACTTACGTGGAAAGTTTCCTCGTCCAAAACAGCACACCGGGCCATATCTCTCTCAGCTGAACAGCTCGGCCCAAATTTCCTTTTATTCTACCCAGAATATCATTGGACTCCTCGTCTAACCTGTCCGCGTACGGCAGAAGTTTGTTGTATACGATGTCTTTCTGAGGAACAAATCCCAATGTGTCAGACTGTACCTTTTTCATATTACAAATTCGAAAAAAACCTGGCTAGCTTTCACTACGCTAGCAGAGATTTTACAGGTAAACCTTCGTCCCGGTGCACGTTTATTATCCGGTTAATATAACGACGAGCGATGTCCCCGAGGTAGCTACCCTCCCCGGTGAGTCGTTAGGACGGTTGTTATGGCCCCGTTAAGTTAACTGTGCGATTCACAACTTGCTGACACGCTAGCTAGCCATGTAGCGTCCGTTAGATTCCGTTTAAAGACAAAAAAAAAACTAAAAAACATTCACGTTATAAAGTGAGTCGTCGCGTTTTAATTATTAAGGCTGACGGGGGGGGAAACACGAGTTTTGTCCGCGTCGGCGCTCGAACAACGTGAATCCTAAAACCTGACAACCAGCTAGCGGTCCGGGCTAAAGTTAGCTCCCTACTACAAAAGCACAGTCATAACCCCGAAGACTGTCAGCGTCGACTGATTCATCCAACTACGGCAAAGCAGACGGCAGACGACACCCAGCTACAAGCTACACAACACACCCGTCATATCCGCTAGCTTCCGGGGGGCGGGGGGGGGACTACACTTCCCAGCATGCCCCTCTCCATTCATGCTTTTTATAAATATCTTAAATCCGCTTAAGAGCTCGTGTCCTCGGATGTGTTTTGTATTAAGTTAAGTTGTTTGTTTGTTTGTTTTAGGCCAAAAATAACTATTCAAAAAGTGTTTATTAGTTTTACCGGATATTTTAACGGTGATTAAGTATTAGTGAACGACTTGGTAACTGTTAATAAACGCCACAATAATCCAAGAGTAGATGCACGCTCATAAGCATAAAATGTCTATAAATTAAATTGGTATGAAAAACTTAATTATGAGAAAAATATTTTTTTATTTAATGATAATTATATTTTTCCCCCCTTTCAAACTTTTTTCTATTATTTTATTAATTCAGTCGTTCATTTTTGTGTTATTATCATAATAATTATTATTATTATTAATATTCGTTTTTATATTTCGTTATTTATATGTTTTTTTATTGTTGATTTTTAATTAGTTAATTTATTGGTAATAAGTGTCCATGATCAGTGGTGAACAGTGACCGCCATCTTGCGGTCAAACGCAGAGGTACAAGAACGAAGAGCCCGTGAACGTAATAGTAGAGAAGTCTCACTCTGACCATATTTAGAGGCACCACTGCGGCAAACAGTCCATGTCCGTCAAAAACGGCTAAATGTGCCGCTTACTTTCATAGAAGTGTGGTGTTCAGATATTTTAAAAATAACTTGGGTATGAAATAAGCTATTTGAGAGGCAGGCATATTTACCTGACCAAGATTAGTCGTTGTTTTTTTTAAACGTGTGTGAGACGTCTCTTTATCATAGACAATCTGCGGTACCGGAAATTGATGTGGGTGTGGTGTCCTAGCAACCTGCAACGTTTGTCCAATCCACCTGAAACTTCTGCTGTCCGTCTCTTCCTAACGTCAGCCGAGCGAAACCCAGCGTTAATTTAACTTGAACTGTTATTGACACAAAAGCAACCGAGCTACAGCACCTGGTTGATGAAAAACTCCAGGTTTAATGGGAATTAATTAGCGTTTGCAAAGATGATTGAAAAGCTGAGTTTGACCTGTGACAGACTGCTGTCACACCGGCAGCTCGCATGTTGTCACTCTTACTGTGGCCTACCACTGCATGGCAATGAAATGCTTATTTACAGTAATATGGACATAGAGCAGCAGGTTTGTTAACAAAGTGTTAAAATATCTTCCAAGTGTTATTTTAAGAATGTCATTAATTAGCTAGCAAGCATGTAGTTAGTTACACTGAGTCTGTAGATTTAATGTACATTAATGCAAACCACAGTGACTCATAATTGCAAACTATTTCTTTGAAATTTAAGTATTATCTGGTCCCTTAACATCCCTTTTTTCTACATTAGTATTTTCAAAATTGCCTGTGTACTCACTATTCTGTATAAATAAAATGTACAATGTAATATAAATATAGATTTAAGGTAGGGAAAGAAAATATGGATATGTCACAGTGCTGTGTTAAATGGTAATCGAATCCTGTATGGCCTCAAGCTTAGTTTTCCCTGCTCATACAGGAGCCACAAACAGAATTCATTTGTCGTAATGTGTTTTATATATTTTTGTCCACAGCCACTGCTACTAACTGGCCACCATGGTGAGATCAGTGCCATGACTTTTGGGAAAGGAAGCAGACCTGTTCTCCTGTGCTCTGCCTCTGCTGATTATATAATTGTCTGGGATATTGAACTATGCCAGAGGAGAACACAGGAGGGTAAGGACATAGTTCTGCATGTGCTTGTGTGTGTGCAGTGCAGTAAAGAGTTGCTCCCATGGTCAGAGTATGGTCTTCAACAGTAGTTTAATTCAGTGTTATTTATTTTAATGCACATTAAACTAGAAAGTAGGGCTGCATGTTACGGTAAAAACAGATACTGCAATTATGATATGATTCGCAATTTGTGTGGGAATGCTAATTTTTACTTTACCAATTTAATTTTCACTGAAAAAACTATTCAAATCATGATGATGTAAAATGTTTTGGGGTTTGTACCAAACAAGCATGTTGTCTTACGTCTGGAGAACAAGATTTGTAGGCCTGGGCATCTCTTCACAACTACAATATTTCATTATAAGGCTGTTACACATTTTACCTTTATCAAAAACTTGAAGCTTCTGCGATTTATTGCACTTGGCCATACTGCAGTTTCGATAATATTGTGATTAAGTGTGCAGCCCTTCTAGAGAGGACACCTTAGTTTGCACATGTTGCACTGAGAGTATGATCATTTTCTTGAGTAAAAACCTTTACAAGCCTGCCATCTAGTGACATTTTACGGGATAGGTAACTTATGTTTATTATGTTCTTCTACTTCTTTTGTTTTGAATATGAACAGACTTAACTGTTGGTTTGCAGGTAAAGTTGCAGCTGGAACAGTTATCGGGACTTTACTGGGTGAAGTCATCCATCTTTCATTTTGTTTCTCTGATGAACGAGTGGCTGCATGCTCGGGAGCAGCTGTACATATTCTCACCTCAAAGGTAAAGCTGCACATTAATATTTGCTTCAGAATACATTTGGGCTCATGGGTTGGCTCAATATATTACTTTCTATTGCTGAAATGGATTACAAATAACGTGCTTTGTTGTCGTTGATTTATTGGATGTATGTCACAGCACATCTCTATTAAAATATGTATAATATTGTTTCTTCCTGACGGTTTAGTAGCCGTCAAAGGTCATCCTTTATCTTATCCAAGTTATATTGTCTTTTCCCACATCAGAGACATGAAGTGATCTCTACCTTGACCGGCCACCTCGGACCTTTAACATCAGCAGAGTTCTGTCCCTGGAATAAAGACATCCTTGTCACCACGTCGGAGGATCGCACTTTTAAGGTACTGACTTTATCAAATGATAGAGCCACAAGTTATTATCACGCTTCTCGTATACACAACAAATAATACCAAATATTACACACACTGTATTAACTATCTTTTCAGGTGTGGGATTTAAAAATGGAAGCGGTGTGCTATCAGTCTTTTGTGCTTACAGGTATGATATTACTATTTACAATCTTTTTGGAGCAAATGAATTACCCTGTCTGAATCCTCCCGTTAAATTTGTACAGTAGAGGTGGTAACATCGCAAGTATTAGTGTGATTTACAAAAATCAGAAATCCAGGAGGCTTTGCTTAATATCAAGGTCTTCATCAGGTCTGACCCTGATTTCCTGTTTTTTGTATACCTTCACCTGCCTAACCCGCACCTGTCGGATCAGCCCCCAGAGCCATTCTTCCTCTTTAAGTATTAGTGGGATTTATTTGAAATCAGGATCTGTTAGTGTTTAATTAGCTACAAGTATCCAAATATAGGCGTCAAGGCTTATCTTTAAGCACGGGTAAGTCAGTACAAGTACGAGCACTTTAGGGCTGCACAATATAATGTAATGCAAGTTGCATGATAAAAATTTGATTGTGATTATTTTGTATTATTTTGATAACAATTATGGTTGCATTATAATTCATGATTATCCAGAATGATCATGTTTGCATCACAATTTTCATTTTCACTGAAAAAACAGTTACCTTTATCAAAAGATTTCAGATGAAATGAAAATGGTATATATAGTGATTGCTAAGGAGGAGTCTGAGCCTTGCAAAATGATTGAAAATATCATATTCTCCACCAACATGCCTAAAGCAAATTCTTCAATTCTGTAGCCTCTCCACTGCTCAGTGTGTTCTTCTTGGAGGAGAACAGGCACCTTATCACCGGTTCAGTGGATGGACAGGTTAGTGACCAAAAGCACACAGCCGTTAACGGCTAACAATCACTATCAGAGACTGAGATTCCTAAAGCTGTGTTACATACCTGTATCTATTGGGTTTAGGTGTGGTGCTTTTCTCTCCCTGATAACCACAAGTGTCACCTAGTGACTAAAATGGATCTTCAGAAGATGGAAAAAAGACATCACCAGTTGACATCGAGCCATCAAGCTGGTGATGACTGATCTCTCCAACAAACAATGACTATACCTCTTTTCACCCACCTGGCTGAAAGAGAAACTGATTGATATTTTCTTCCAGGGGTCGCAGACCAATCAGCTGCAGATAAAGTGGAGACTTCAAAACCTATCCTCAAAATGGCTTTATGTGACTCATTCACTGGCACTAGTTATGAGGATAGAAAGTAAGTGAACAAACTCCTGAGCAGTCATAAACAGTGAGAAATGTTTATAGAAGGTATATGATGTCTGGCATTTTGGACAACCCAGGGATTCACTTGTCTCACTTAGGGAAATGAAGGAGGTTAGCCTAGTTCACACAGAAGACTCCTGACTCAGCACTGGGCTAATGGCTATCAGATAGGCCCTGTTTATCTGAGATAACATCTGTTTAATGTTGTCTGACTTACAGTAGCATTTCCATTGAATTGGCAGACCTAGATAAGCAGCTACAAAATGGATGGATGGATCTTGTTTAAGAACTGTTCACTTCATTCATTAGTCACGTAGAAGCACAAGGTCTAATGTGGGCAGAGTGTCAACACAGAGACTATTCTTACTCTCAGGAACTCAAAATGGATTGATGGACCATATAGTGTGAAGTTACCATGAGGAAGAACTGTTTTACTTAATTTGTGACAAGGAATCTTAATGCTGAAGTAGGACAGTCAACACTGTGGCCAATGGCTATTCTCAAGGGCTCAATATTGTTCTTATTTCCACAAGGTAAAAATTGTATGTGATCCAGGAAAATCTTACAAAAGCAATTCAAATGCAGTTGTCATGAAAAAAAAAACAATAAATAGCTGCACATTTCTGCCATTAACACTATATAGATGTCATACTGTCACAGAAACCTTGGAAAAAACGCCCCATCTTTATGGGCTAATTGCTGCACGTGTCCACGCAGTCACAGGAAACTTCACACATCACAGGAAACTTTGCAGGCTCATAGCATAAACTGTTTCAGGCTGTTCAAACATCTGATGTTATGACAGGAAGCAGGCACTTAAAAAGCACAGACATAACTCTCTGTGTATTTTGTGGACCACTGGAATGAAATGGACGTTGATTCCTCATTGCTCAAAGCAAAGCACATGATCTCAGAGGTCCATCATCTCTACTCTTGACCCAGACAGACGTTTTAGCATACAACCACTGTTTTTACTGGCATCCAAATGATGGGCTTTAACAAATCAAACAGTTTTGCGTAGGTGTATTATGGGATAAATATGCAGCATAGTATGCTGTATATATTATAGAGTATCAGTTCATAAGTGGTCTGATCAATGGTTCTGATGTTTCAAATTAGTCTTTTTGTTTTTAAAACAATAATCTCTTTCTCCATCAAATAATGTGACGTTTTCACCTGAGCATTTGACGTGTCATCTACTTTTGTGTGGGTCTTTGTCATCCAAACATTTATGGCACCTTTATCCAAAATACTAACAGGTACATCGCTAATTTTAGTATATCAAAGCCACTATGTGTAGAATTTAAAATTCAGATGTTGGCACGCCCTAGTGGAAGAATCAAAAACGGCACTGTGATGTACAGCAATGAATGCTGCTCATTTTTTTTAGAAACATACTAACAGTACAATAATCACATAAGAATCCACACATAATGGCCTTAATTGTCTCCATCCTGGAGACAAAAGCTCACGCTCAGCATGAAAATAATGATGCACTAAAACGTAAAACCTGTCTAACAATAACATAACCTCAGCATGAAGCTCAGTGCAGGAAGTGGATAAAAAGGAACCATCAGACTCAACTTCCTCTTCTTTCTACTCTGTGTGGCAGTAGCTTCCATCTTGCTGGGTGTACATAGCTTAGACTACATGAATTCAAAGGGAATCTGAATAAAAACCTACTGTATAGTCCTATGGTGTGCATGCCTTCCCACTCCATCACATCAGTATGTTTTTCTATAGTATGTGGTTACACTGTCTTTCCCCAAATGAGCTGAAAAAATGCTTTTGAGGGAAAACCTGTAACTCTGTTTTTCCATATGTTTCTCTGTGGGCCCTGCGGGGACAACAGCTGGTTATATGTTGGAAGCTCTGATGGCCTGTATGTGGTTGATCTGGCTACCTCAGAACTCCTAACGGCACTATATTTCAAAGGTAGGCTGCTGCTGCTGCTGGTGGTGGTGGATTGCTAGTGTACTGCTGTAACATGTTTAAGCATTTCTTTCACAGTGAGAAATTCTATTAGATTCTTTTTATGAAACGTGGTGATTGATTTCAAACTATAAAGGGAATTTGCTTCTTTCTGTTTTCCATATCCTCTCTGTTTTTTACATTGTCTTAGGATAGTAAAGTTTATTTCGGGAGAATGACATGAACTCACTATTTTTTATGCCAGTTTCTTTGCATAATTTACAGCACCTGATACATACAAACTGGAAACTAAATTCATCTAAACCCATGACCGATGTTCATTCTTCTAGATTACCCCAACCTGAGCATCACAATGGCTGGGTCGTGGTCAATCTCTCCAGGGTGGGGTAACTCTGTGAGTAATTCCAATAGTATCTTGATAAACCAGAATAAGACCAACTATATGAACTATATACAAGATTTGAAAGCAATGATGTGTTATAGTGCAGTGTAAAAGCTTAATGTTGTATTTTTTAAACAAGTATGGACAAATACAGTTGTTTTGCTATCTTATTCATGTTAATTCATTTTTGAATTCCTTGTTACACAGATGGTGTTTTTAGTGAGCTCTTTGTTTACTCCATGTGTGGCCCTGTTGGAGTTACGCCTGTGTGACCTAGGGTGGATCTGGGCTTGTGGTGAAGGGTTTTCAGTGTTCCCGAGGTAAACCTGGAGTTAAAGGCAAATGTTTGGTGACACTACAGTATGTTGACTCCCTAGAGGACAAATGGTCCTTTTTACTTTCTCCCTTCAATATAGAGATCAAGGTAAATCATCTCCATTTGTAAAAATTCAGTATCTTGCCCAGGGACACTGGCAAAGTCTTATATACACAGGAGCTGGAACCCAGGTTCTGCTAGTATTCTGCTAGTCTGTAATTTGTTGATTCAGTGGCAATTATATTATTCTAGATCATGAAACAAAAGACAAAGGTAGAAAAAAAAGTTGCTTCTCTGTAGCTCAGATAATAATTTGGTTCCAGCCTCGATCTGCTGTGCTCAGTGAATGAATAAACTCTGTGAACGTTTTTTATATGCCTAAGCTTTTAAATCCACACGAGTTTTAATAAAGCTGTTTGTACTGAATGTACTCCTTAATCCAGAACATCATACTTATTACTCTCACAATAACAACGCTTTTGAAATGCCAAATGTTTTTATTTGTCCTCTGGGGGGAGAATGAAATTCATTCAGGTATTACCTGTACCTCCATAAATGATTATTTAGCAAAATCCAGCAGCACCAATAAAAAGTGATAATTTAAATAATAATAATAATGTGTTTCTGCTTTAACAAATGTGCAATTTATGAGCTAAAGCATAATCATGTCAGGTTGTTAAAATTTGCAAAAATACTGCAGTTGTAGTCATGTTGCGTTCTCTCAGGCACTGGTCACCTGACCTCCCCAGCTATAAGACATATGAGTGGGGTCTGTTTTTTAGTTGGCCTCTTGCCTGTAACTCCTTCTGACTCTGACATTTCCATATTAGCATGGCCTATTACAACCCTTTTTGCCATCTGGTTTTTCATGAGTCAACAATATCATGGTACTGAGAATTAGAAGGACTAATAATCCACAACGGTGGAAAATGCTGTGCTCCTTCATTTCCAGTAACTCCCCCCATGTCACCCCTCCCTTGTCTTCAGTTCTCCTGCGTTGCCTGAATCTCCTCTGAACGCTGAGTTAAAGAAGAAGGAACCCAACCATCCCAAAAAGAAAGGTCAGCATCCCTCTCGTCGTCTGAACACTCACTCACCTCTCACTTATGCTCATGCACATAAAATAAAAAAGGGAGCTACTGCTGTTTGATGACTCTTGGTTTTAAAAGTATGACCCATTTTACAGTTCTCTCCACGTCTGGCTAGTTGTCTGTTTTGCTTGGACACAGATGATTCTCTTAAATTGTGCTTATTGTAGGTTTATAGACAGTCTGTTTGGCTATTACAAGAGCTACTGAGAACGTCCTCATTATCTGTAAATATAGAGGATGGAAAAGATTCCATGCTTTGTGGGGGGTGTTGATGTGGCATGCGTAAGTAGATTCCTTTTGTCTGCCACATAGGCAGATACACTTTGTTAAAAGGGTTTTTTGGGGAGAGTTTTAATGTTTTGTTTTAAATTGTGATTTGTGATGTTCGGCTATATAAATAACATTTGACTTGACTACTTCAAATTATGCAACACTTAGAGTACAAAACATTTAGACTGATAAATATCTCACTAATTATCTCAGTTTGTTGTATGCTTGCTTCTTGCAGTAGCTGGAATCCTATGTAAAATTAGCCTATTTGTGGTTTTTTGGTGTACCATTAGGATTTGGCAGCTTGAAACTATTCAGCTGGAGACCTACAGTACAGTATACTGTGGTTTACATGTTGCTCTTACAGAGAGTTAGCGCTGCGAAAGCCAGTATTAGCCGGACTCCCCACAGCTGGAGTGAAGGGAGCTACCAGTGCCAGACTATGTAGGGGATCTTCAGGGGAGTCTAGAGGTGCTGCGTTACAACAATGTCAGACCGAAAACCACAAACATTTACGGACTAGTGAAAACCCACCATGCTGCCCCGCCATGCATCTCTGTATTCTTAAAGATATCTGCAGAATTATATACAAATTACACCATAAACCTCTGAGACTCCTGGAAAGGAAAATTGTAAGTCTAGCACAAGGCTGACAGAGCTTTTTTAAAGGAACTGTAAGCACAGATTAGATGTATGCTGTCATGTCATGCTGCCATGTAACATAATTATGAAGTGAACCAGGACTGTTGGCTTTTAATAAAAGATAATTAGCTGTCAATACTTTCTGCATGATGTCTTTGTCTGAAGTGTAATGCCTGAGTCTTGTTGCTTGGAATTGTTTTATACTTAGGATATCAGGGGACTACTAAAGTACTAAAGAGCAATTTGATCTGAATGGCCTTTGAATGGTTTTCCATAGAAAGTGATCAATTCAGTAACAGTAGAAATAAACATGCCGATGAAATTGAACAAACAAGTTAATGTTGTCTTTGTTGTACCTTTATAGAAAAAGGGTGCAATGTTTAATGTCATATGCTTCTTCTGCCAAACCACCAGACTTAAACTTACTCAACAATTCATCATACATATTAATATATATATATATATATATATATATATATATTGTATGACTCGATTGTACTTAGTAGCTTAAAGGGAACTATATCTGAATTTCATTCTACAACCTTTCAGTTGTAAATGACAATAACATAACCTTGAATCAATGAAATGATTTTAAAAGGAGAGACAGGCTTAGATTTATGTGAAAGTACTTAACTACAATATCATCTGAATGTCCTCTGCAAGACATCAGCCTACTTCCACATGACACAGATCATTAAGCATCAATGTCAGTCTTATTTTTTAGAGCTACTTTGCTAGTTTTGGTCGAAGAGAGATGGGAAAACAACCTGTATGTCACAGGGTACTGTGAGGCCTTGACTAGTCCAGTTGGAATGAAAAAGGATTTTATTCTATTGTTCCATTTATCACTGCTTTACAGCAAGAGTACCTTATAGTATAGTTCACACTTAGCTCTCTATTAAAGTTTGATATGTGGTTAGTGCTTTATTCGCATAGCTATATGTAATAGTACATTCTTTGACCTCTTTGTACATTTCCTTCCAGTATGCTACACACATGTTACACATGGCCAGCATATTCTTCAGGTGCTACATGATTTCTGTTGCTGTCAGACCCTCAGTTTGGCTCCATATTCGTAATTCCAGTCAGTCTTCGGTTACTGTGCCTCTGATACCTTTTTACTTCAACTCACTCCTTTCTCCTACTGTGTGCCCCACTTTTCACAGGTCAGTAAAGCAATAACTCACACCAGAGACTTTGGTTACAGTCAAAATGATATCCTTGAGACATATATACCTGCTATGGTTTATACATTTTTAGAAGCTTGAATTGTTTAGTCTTTTTCTTGGGCCGCATTCAACAGCTAACTCAGAGGGAGGTCTGAGTTTTACCATCTCCTGTTTTCTGACTGAGAACAAAATGTAGTGGTTTACTTTAGAATAAAGTCCAGGGCTGGCCTGAGCCTTGCCCCTTCTAATTCAGACAAACCAAACTGTAAAACAAATCTTTGTCACTTCTTAAAATCACAGAAACCGTGTTAACCCTACATCATAAGAAAACACTTATGGTTTTTAGTTTTACATGTGTAGACCCAGACACAGCAGATAGCCCCCCTCCTGAACCTCATGTGACTGCAGCCAAAACCTTATTGTAACAATAATCATTTAGTGCTCTTTTTGTTGTTGCATCAAAAGCTAAACATCATAATGTTTTAAGCTAGACTGAAGAATTTCAACATTATGAAACCTGTGTGCTGTAATGGTAAAGACAGCGTAGGCTAAGTCTGACATAATGAGTTGAGAGCTGTAAAAAGAGCACACAGCAAACCGCTGTGATTTTACGCAGATATGACTCGACTTGGAAATTTGTCTGAAACTCTCACTTTGCTTCAAATAGCGTCTAGTCTCAAGTCAGCGTAAATTATGAGATTTTTACTGCCCCATAAAACTAAATGACCATTATATATCAGCAGGGGGTCAATAGGGCTGCTGAGCAAAGCCAAGTGATTGTGTCGCCAGGTAATTAGATTTCTGGCCTCAAAATGCTTAGTTTTTCCTGCATATAATCTGTTCTAGATCAGAAGCTACTTCCAGTACACCACCTCACACACACACACAGTGGAGGAATGGAGGAAGGTGCTACATGTGAGCGACCAGTGTCACAAGAGTTTTCGTTGTCAGGTTAAAAAACAAATAGCACATTTGTTATGTACTTTTTTTTACTGTCTTTCCTTAGTTATACCATACAATACCAATTTTACGTTTTAAGTTAAAAACCAGAGCTGTTACAAAGTTGAACTAAGGAAGGAAATAAGACTATTGCTTTTACAGATGCAAGACAGCATGAATAGTATCAGCAGTAATATCCTTTGAGGCTGAACAGATAAAGAAACGACATGTACCTAGAGAAAACTCAAATTTCAATGCAGAATCCAAGGAAAAGGGAACAGATTAATTGTTCAGAGGTTGTCAAGTGTACTTTACAGGAAAATACCCTTCAAGCCAAAACTGGAGTGAACATTGGCACTGCTGATCAAAGATAAAAAGCACTCCCAGATAAGAGAGGGTTGAAAAGAGATCCAGATGTGCTTCTTTTTGATTCTGACTGGTTGGTTTCACTTGCAGTAAATGTATTATTGTATTGCGACTAGGGCTGCACAATATTGTAAAAGATCATATTGCAATTATTTGACAGATATTGATATATGATGCTATTTATTGTGCAGTCATAGTTGATACAACTGATAATACCTAGCACTCAAACATTAGGTAAAGGATTCACAGTCAGGTGAACCTGTTAAGCTGTTCAAGTTTTGTAAGTTTAATGGTCTATTAGCAAATTAAATCTACTGACATTGCGTGCCTATTGCTGACTTTACTGTAAGATGACACATTTTGTTGAGGTAAAGTTATTAACCATAGGTTTGCTTGCTGTTATTGACTGTCATTAAGGATTCTTTCATCAGTTTTCCTTTTCAAAAATCTCTGAAGAACAGTTCAAATGCCATTTGTCATTTTGACATTTCGAAAATAAGCTACTGCTAAACACATCAGTGTGAGTGGATCTGACTACGGCACCAATCAATCTGTGTTTTTCAGGTTCCTGTTCGGTAACAAGCTGTCACAAAACTGCAGTACCTTAGAAAATGAATTACTGTCACTGAAAAAAGCAAAGCTGTGTAAAATATATTGCATGGAAAGAAATTCAAGCTGTGTCTAAGAGCTCAAACACACACCTAACAAACAAGGTTTGCTTTTAGGTTTTAGTTTTCTTAGTCAACTCAATTATTTTAGATAAGTCCTGGGAAAATGTAATTTTACAGGTTAATCTCTGCTTAGGTGATAAGCTAGTGTTGAATTGGAGTCAAGGCTGTAAACCAAATCCATATAATTTTTTTCTGATGCAACTTGAGCCCTAAGTTGCTGCTCAGAGATTATGTGACTTTTTCTTACTTTGCCTGTATTTGACAGGAGAGCAGTTTTTGGAGAGCCTCACACATTTTAATGGTTGTGGAAAAAGTGAGCTCATTGTAATATAGTAAAGGCACTGACAGCGAACAGGGAGCAGAATGAACCATCCCACAGTTTGTGGCTGATGCACTTAATGCTCACAGCGCAGAGTGGTCACCCAATAATATTGTATCTTCCATTCCTAGTATAATCCATTACCCACTACAGTATAATGAGTAGTTCTGTCCTAATTATGGAAAATAATGAACAGGAGTCTTTTTCCTTTTGACCTTTTACTCATGTTGCAACATCTACCCATTTCTAAATGTTACTTTCTTTTTAGGATCTTTTATCTTTGTTTTAGGCGCATATACTGTAGATCATTTATTCTTCATACTGTTTGTCAGTCTGTGTCTAATAGACCACCTTATCTGTTTTACAAAGGAGGAATAAAGGAGCAGCCTCTGGTTTTCCACTCGAAAGTGAAGTCATCTGGATACACCAGTGCCCCAAGGTAGGTTCACAGAGTAACTTTTTTCCTAATAGAAAATCTAATTGCAGTTTATTGGATTCATAAAATTGGAAGAGGGAAAAGAGCAACTTTAAAGTAAATTTAAAGAGGAATGGAATTGTATTTCTTTATATTGGTACTTCAATGGGTGGAGCATTGCACTAATGTTATATTTCCCAGGACTACTGCTGTTGCTCTTTTAAAATGTATCACACATGTTACTATAAAACACTTCCATACAAAAAAAACAAAAAAAAACCTTACCTACAAAATTTTCTCTATCATAGCCATAACTTGTATAGGCCACTTAACACTCATCCAGGTCAGGTTAATGATGGCAGAGGGGCAACCCTCTTGAGATTTTCAGGCAATCAACAACTTGTTCTTGGTGTACCCCATGATAGTCATTTCGCAATTGGCAATCCTCAGTGCAAATTCAGGAGGGCAGCCGGAAGCAACACCTCCTGGTACCCCCTCAGTGTGAACTAGCAGTAATATAGTTTTGGGATCTGACTGGTTATCACACGTCCATCTCCGTTATTGCATTGCATTACAATCCTTAATGTAATAAACAAGAACTACTTTAAGCCAACAGCACTTTGCAGCTATTCCAATGACAGAGTTTTTCAACTGGATCTATTTAACCTCTTCCAGGACACTCAGTCTTTGCAGTCCCCCACAAGGCATTGCTAGCAAATAATAATCTAAAAAACAATATGCAATGAGGTTTCACGAATCAAACAATTGATACATGCAAAATCACATGATTTTTTTTATTTGCTTTGTCTTTTCAGAAGAAGTATGTTTTCACCTAAAACAAATATTCAGAAGAATCCTTCTTCTAAAAAAGATGCCAAAAATACGTAAGCTATCACATCATTTAAAATACAATGCTGAAAAAGTTTTCAAATGCGACTGTTGATATAAATACTAAACTTATTTTTTGTCATTTAGAGGTTTATTCCTCAGAGATTATCCAGCTGACAGTGCAGCACCTACTGTTCCACAGATTGATCTAAGCACTGGCAACAAACCAGTCTACTGCCTTCAGTACTCAGGTGAGACAGTTTTACAATACTGACCATACTATGAAAAACACAATATAATCATATGTTTGAATGAGTGGCCAGTCAGTGATGTTTTGAAAATTCTAAAACCATAATGTATTACCTCAGGCAAAGTAGTTATAAAAATAAGTATGAGTAGACAGGGACAAGAGTTTGAGGATCTGAGGTGTTATAGTCAGAAATTATATATAATAATAGAAATGGCCTAGAGTAGACAGTAAATGTTGTTGCATCTGCACTTTGAAGAACTACCTCATGTGTTAGGACTGCCGGATGGTCCTCTATGATACTACAGTACTACACTGACTTGTGAAATCCCATTGCAGCCTGAATTTTTTAATACTTCATCAGCAGCAATCAAAAAAGAATTATAAACTGCAGCTAGTTTAGTCTATCCTCTACTGGAAGGGTAAATTAAGGTGAATAACAATTTATGAAGTATGACAAAATTATAACTTTCCTTAATTGTTACAGAATTATATTACATTTTAGGATAAATGTTCCTGTTTCAGACAAAACACCTCCCTGCTGTTTAAAACCCTTTCATATTTTAGGTAATAGTAAATCAGCTGTTGAATGAAAAATCCTCATAAAATGATTCTGTGTTTCCTTGTCTCTCCCAGGTGACGGAAAACAAATCCTGTGTGGTCTTGGCGACAGCTCGGTGTTATTGTACAAGTCCTCCCTTACTGGCAGTCCAGCTGTCTACACAGGTGCATGAAGTGGAGTATCCATACCTTAAAAGCCTCTGAGTTAAACAGTATTTGTCCTCAGTCACCTCAGCATTTCTTTTAGCAGTGCATTTGAATGTTCTTTCACAAAAAGGATTCATTTTATGCAAAATGTGTGACTTTTCTTTATAATAGGGCTGTATTAATGGACTCTTTGCAAATTATGCTCTCATTTTACAGCTATTCAAAGTAAAGATCTGATGTTTTTATGAGACTAGGAGGATGTCACTAAGAAGTTCATCCTCAGCTTGGATTTAGGTCTGCTTTATTTGGAATATTCTGATTAACATACTTTGAAATAGGTCCATGGCTTAAGATGAAAGTCTCCAGGAAAATCCAAATATTCACTTACTCAGCTTTCAGTGTCAAAATTGTAGAGAAAGAGTTCTCCTTTATCAGAAAAGCGTGGTTTGGTTAAATTCCAAAGTCAAAATTTGGTACAGACTGTCTTTGTTTTTGTCAGACAGTAAAAACCTAGGTGATGGTAAAAAAGAAAGATGAAAAGGGCACATTGTCTTGAGACCAACTAGGTTTAAACATATATTTCTCACTCCTTCTACGCACTATTGAAGTAAAATATTACGAAGAATGATCCTGGGCATTGAAGTTCATACCAACAGGCAAAGAAAGGATCTCCATGCATGTCAAGCATATGTTTCGCATTGGCTCAATGAAGTGGTAACACAGTGTCCACAAGGGGGTAGCAGAGATAAAAGGACAGAAGTTGAGGTGACCAGTAGGTCACCGAGAACCTCCTCTCTTCACTCCGCTTGACTCTCTGAACAGTACCATAAAAGTAAGTGTTGCAACTACACACACTGTATTTCCAGGTTGGTTTCAAACCTCTGTTTATATGCAGGGCATGACAAGCCAGTGAGCAGTGTAAGCTGGAGCCTCAACAGACAGTGGTGGCTGAGTGCGTCAGAAGACCAGTCACTCCGAATCTGGACCCAGGGCAGTCCAGAGCCTGTGATTATCATGGTAAATGTCTCATTCATTCACTAAGACACACTTCTTTTTTTCTTTCTTCTTCTTTTTTTTCTTTTTTATGGATTTCATTCAGTCCCTGTCGCCCTAATCTTAACCATCACCACTAAATGGACCATTAAGCCTAAATCAAACCTTCAATCACTCATTGTTCTAAGCCCAAGTTTTAACCATAAAAAATGGTGAAATGACAACCAGCCAGACTGACCTCATATTGCAAAAATGTCCTCACACTGAAGATCTAAAAACTCAAATTGGTTTTGAAGTAAAACCAAATAACTACAGACACATGCTGTACACATTTTGTACTCTCACTCCTGTCTACTAAGACGGCTATGATTGCTGGAAGGATTTTGTCCCTAATTGCAGTGTGTGTAAATGAGGCCACACTTGAATGACCGTAAAGCTACTGTATCCCCAATGTTTTGGTCATGTTTTAATGTGTTGTTCTCTAGAACATTCTTTTCACAGTATAATGTCTCAGGTCTGGATCCTGCATCAAGAGATTTGTAGTGTATTAAGGGCGATGGAAAGGGTGCACTGTATTATTAAATATAGTGGTGTAATGCAGGTAAGAAATGTTGTGATGAAAATGATCTATTTTGCTTTGTCTGTAACTCATTAGAAAGTGAGTCACTGTGCACCTTTATAACTTCTGCAAGGGAATTTCTGTGTAATGTTCCAACTCTATCTTTGACATATTGATATGAAACTCACTTTTTCCTTTTCTAATGAGACTAACCTAATGGAATTAAAAAAGGGAAAGCCAAATTAATTGAGATGATAAAATGGTGTGTATCTTGGCTCAAAGGTAGTGACATTGTCATTCTAAGCATCTGCTGGACTCAGAGCATCCAAAACTCTGATCATATGCAGAGCCTCCTTACTTCATTGGGTATCACATTTAATGGGACAGTCAGAAGTGTGTCTACTTCCCCATGCCAAGTGAAAACTCTGGGGTCTCCCCAATAGCTGATGCTAACCATCCCTGCTTTGCTCCACTCAGTGAGATAGTTTTGAGTTTGGCCCGATCTGCAGCCTTTGACTACTTGGTGTGCTTGTGAAACAACTTGGCAAACAAATGTAAGTCTTTTCAGGGACAGGAACTCTGCCGGGGTGAGCCAGAATTACACATAGCTTTGCAAAGTTATGCTTGAAAACTCTAGAAAGAAATAACCACATAGTATTATTAAAGTGCTTTGTCATTGGAGGTCCAGTAGGAGTAGTAGGTCTGTCAGGACAACCTTGTTTGCTTATTTTACCTTGATAGACTCTAACTATGCAGTTTGGGGATTAAGCAGAACAATGTTTATGCCCCATACTAATACTGTTTCTGATAAGGATGTTTTTTCTTGAGTTCACTACCTCCTTTTGTGAAACAGATTTTCTCTGAGTCGCTTTTTCCACATGGTGTGAAAAACGTTGAAGACGAGAAGACATTGGTTGTTAGTGTTAGAGCACCATTCATACCCACACGTTGATTCTTCTGGGTTTAAAGGAATAACACAGACAATATAATGTGTAGGTTATCACTACATAGTTGGGGGTGTAGCACATATAATTTTGAGCAATAGAAAAGCTATAGATGTGTACGGTACCTACTATTACAGCTTTTTATTGCTTTCATAATTCAGATGTGACTTTGCTTTAAATTACCTTCAGGAGTACGTAGTCAGACAAAACTATTTAGGATCGAGGAGTGTTTCCAGATTTTTGCCTTTGTTATTATCAATGATGTTCCCTACAATGAATATTTGTAAAATATAATATTTAGTAAATATATAATATTTTATTGCATAATTTTAGCTTGATTTTTGTCTCTTTTCTCCTTTAGGGCAACAGTATGTTCTCCAAACCCATTAGAAGTGCTCAATTTTATTACCTCGACAAATTTCTACTTCTGGCATCCGGGCCGTCTCTATACTTGTACCTGTATAATGTGGACATCACACGTGACAGCATCAAAAGGTAATTACGAGTGTGGATAAGGATGCATAAACTTGCTATGGGTTTTTAATGGGTTTTACTTAAGTGTAATGTATTATTACAATATAAAAATGCATTGCACCGATCAATGCAAAGAAAACACTGACACCACTGTCTCTTTCTCCTTTGGTGTCAAGCTGTATCTGAGTTTTTCACACAATTAATACACAAATAAAACTATTGGAGCAATGCAGTTCACAACATAAATGCATGTTTTTTAGTGTTTAAAGGGACAATCAACTGTCAAAGCCTCAGATCATACATTGAGCTACAGTATGAACACCCATTGTACTGTACTATATGATCTCAAAATCTGTACTCTTGGGCTATACAAAGATTGTGCAAAATAAATAAGATACATAATTGTAGTATTCAAATTCTATATCATTATACTGTGTATTTTATTCTAGTATTTAATGATTCTAATATCATTCCTGGAAGTCATTAGTAGAATACACCTGAAAGAAATGTGCCTCACAGATTGTGATTGGGTCCAGACAACTACAGTTTCTCTGTTGGGGCTGAAACATCAGAACATAAATATCAGATTGTGTTGCACAATCACATTGGCATGTATTCAAACCTCAAAGCTGCGCGGTAGCACTACAGTCTTGTTGGCCTCTAAAGGGTAACACTGACACATCGGGGGCTAAAAGAACATTAACAACACTTGCAGGGAAGAGAGGGATTCAAATTAATCATCTACCACTTTTCAGCTCCAGCTATTGTGATATTGACAACCAATGCAAAAACATCCATTGCAATAACATTGTAATGCAGATAAAAGGGGAAATATAAATCCAAGAATTGTGTAATCTATGTAGGAAAGGCTTTTTCAAACAGGGGAATAGCTACCACAGAAACTGCTGACACTCATTGCCTCCCAAACTTCTTGACTGTGTACTGTAAGCTGCCAGGGCTTGTTTTGGAGGCCATGGAAATAACAGTGAAGGGTCTCCATACCCTCTTTTAGCAGTGCCTGTTGCTGTTTCATCTACTTCTTCTTAAGGTAGTTACTTGTGTAAGTAAAAACAAAATCAGTTGTAAAGGGTAGTGCCTCTTCATGAATTCTGTCCTACAGCCTTATAGCTCAGATAGAGATGAAGAATCATAGGTTTGCAGAGTGATTTACTATTGATCATATACCTATACCAGAACCTTTATTGGTTGAAAGAATTATGCAACTTCTTCTTTTTCTTTTTAGATATCAGCAACGGAGCGTCGTCAAATTGGCAGGACGCTTTGCAACGACATCAGCAACAGACATCACTGCCTTGTCTGCAATCAGTGATTTCTTCTCTTGTATCCCTTTTCCTGTTATTGTTGTTCTTGCAGCAGTAAGTGTTATAGTTAGACTGCATTGATGCTTTGGAGACCAAAGTGAACCCATCACATAAGTAGTTTTACTTGGAGCATCTCGTTGGACCACTTCCATGTCTACCACTGCACTCAGCCTGTGCTTCATAAAGTCTTCACGTGTTGCCTTGGGGCTTCCACTGCTGACTTTACATGTAAATCAATTAGGTGTCTTTTATTTTTCTGGAATGTCTGCATTCCCAGCCCCTTGTTAGGGTTTACAGTGCATTTACTTTCCAATAAATTCACTGAACTGAGCTGCACTGGGATGAGAGAGATCCTGTCAGGAGTCATCTAACACCCTTGTGCTTAGCACAGGCCAAGTGCATATAAGGTGATTTGAAGTCTGGATACATGGATATATAAATTAAGGATTTATTTGTGTATCATTAAAAACCCCATTCAGATTTCTTTTATAGAAGTAAACTGGGAGAGTGTAAATGGGCACCATGCAAAATGACACTGTCTCATCTATATAGATATACAAGATATGCATTTAACTTGGTATTAAAGTAAAAAAATATGTAGTTTCATAATTTCATTCAAAATATCTCCATGTAGAGTCAGATACTGAGAAAAACTTCAACATAAAAGACTATTTAGGAGGCAGAATACAACCATTTGCAAACTTGCAGATTACTAACTGACAAAAGCTTTATACTTTTGCATTACAGCATAGAGTGAAAGAAGCTGTCTGCAAGAAAAATGTATTAAGCTATCTGCTCAACTTAGCACCAGCTTCTAGTGCTGGCCCCTGAAGAATTGGCATTAACCTTTTTTTTTTACCTTGGAATGCTGACCACATAGATAAAATGTAGATATACTGCAGTTAGTCTACAGCAGGCCTTACAGTTTGTAATTAATAAATCTCATAACCTTTCCTAAAAGCTGTCTCAGACATTGTTCTAGTGTGTGGTTCAGATCGCTCCATTCAAGTATTTGACATGAACAAGGGTACAGTTGCCTCAGAGCTGCCTGATGCTCACAACAAAGCCATCCACTGTGTGACACAAAACAAGGTGAGGCCATTTAAATGTTCCTTTGAAGAAAGTCCAAATAGTTATTTAAAGGTTGCATCTACTATGTATTGCGTTGTCTCTATTATATTGACAGTAAGTCAATAAAGACTGTACTGTATACTGTATGTGAAGTGACATACAACACGAGACATGTATTCAATATGTGGTCTCTATGCATAGATTGTTCAGAGATAAGACATTGTGAAGTTTATGGAGCAGCATTTTAAGCCTTTACTTTAAAAAAGAGTGGATATTTCAGAAATAGTTCTAGATGACAGTGTCCTGTGGCTTGAAATCACAAAATTAAATAAAAATTTTAAGAAAACTGAGGAAGAAAAGGGAAAATTCAAGCTTTACCTCTATTGTAAAAATCTAAATATCAATATTGTTTTCATCTCACAGCCTACAGCTTCTGCTGTACCTTCTTACATAATTAAGACAGCCATTTCATTTCAGAGTGTGATTCTTAAAATGCAAAATGTTTAATAATAATTGCATTACAGCATTTATCTGTGAAATTTTGCCTTAAACCCTGCACATTGCTATCCTGAAAACAGCACTTTTCTATAAAATCAATTACTGAAAGATAAATGTTTATTGTTTTTAAAAAGTCACCTGTTTTTTATGCTTCAGAGTTTTTGTCAAATCTGTTTCAGGCTTGTTTCTCTTCTGTTTGACTTGAACTTACATTGACCTCTAATCTTTGTGAATGGATAGAGGCAAAGACGTCTCATCACTCCACAGGCAGACTGAGTGACTTTTAGATCTAACCCACACAGCAAAGAATTTGCTTGACTTGGCATCAATTGGTAGTATGCGCCCCATCTTCCATTTTACTCTTGAAGAGTCTACTATTTGGCAGCTGTGATAGTGTTACATAAGACATCTATAGAGTTACATAAGACACAGCTCGTCTTTGAGGGAATAAAAGCGTTAGTTTGTGGTGTGATTAGAGAAGGTCAAGGTAAAAAAAAATGTCATGGTTACCCAAAAGTTTCCATGACAGACAGACAGGACATGCCATCATCAGTACCATTCATCTTGCTGAGTGTTTGAATGTAAATCCCGGGTGCATCAGGATTAAGACTGCCATAGGAGATGGCAGGAGGAGATTCCATGCTGGATGATGGCCTTGGAGCAGTGCAGTTCCATGATGCAGTTGGGGTTTATGTGGCCTCACTCCCACATCACTGTCTCGGACAAATGTGGGCTCAATTTGCTGGTGTCTAACAAGAAGACAGCTTAGGACATCCATTATAGAGCTATGAAGAATGTAATACAAAATGAAGCTATAAATATTAGTGATAAATTTGGGCATTCGAGCCTGGGTTTTCTGTATATGATTTACATTTCTGTATATCTAGCACAGACAAATGAAGGTCCTGGTTTCTCTCCATATATAGTCGTATGATCTATCTTACAGATACTTATATAACTTATAGGAATACAAAGTGCATTTGTGTGAGAGAGAGAGAGAGAGAGAGAGAGAGAGAGAGAGAGAGAGAGAGAGGGCTTGTACCCAGTGACCTCAGGGTATTGACGTTAGTCACTTCTGCATGTTGACCTTTGCATACTTGACACCCCAGGCTGGATTAGCTGGACACATTGCAGCTAGTGGCATGGATTAAGCGCATTAACCCATTCAGATGTGATGCACTCCTACACACAGCTGACTATACTCCTTCAGCCCAGAGGAGCCTGTTCTTTGTCACGCCAGCTATTGTGTGCCATGCATTGTGGAAAACCTGCAGTGTGTTGTTTCAGCTTGGCTATTGCGTCAATGTGGGGTCCTCCGCCTGGGTGCCCAAGGGCCTTTTGGATTCCCGTAGGGTTAATACCTGTGGCTCAGAGGGATTGCCCCTGCCCGGAGACTGCACACATAACATCACTCTTCCCTCCCCTCTTGCTCTCTCGTCCCAAACGGAGCAAACATCGGGAACTGCAGCATGTGAAGCAGCTTTTCCCACTTCAAATTTCCATCGCCTCTTCTGCAAAAATTCACCTGGAACTCATCAGAGCAGAGGAGTTCTCGGAAAATGGAACTGGAAATGCCCTCTCAGACTCCCGTTCTCACACTCTTAATGGAAATCTAAACAAAAAACACCCCCACCACTGCTCTCCCTCTCTCTCTCTGTCACACACACACACACACACTCTGCTGTATCATCTGATAACTTGGTGTGAAAGTCATGTATGGAACTTATGTATAGATGTGCAGTGGAAACTATATGTATTTATAGCTGAAGAATAGTGTGCTACATAAAAGATGGAAAATGACTCAAAGACAAATGAACAGTTTTGCTTCCATTTCACTTTTCTTTCCATCCCCAGTGTGCTTAGGTTGTCTTTAATCTCACCTCCTACTTTAGTAACAATGCTACCTGGAATAATAATATAATAACTATTTGCCAATACAGGAAACACAGCAACAACATTTTCCAGCACTGGACGATAAGAGAAGCTGATTTACAACCTATTTCAGTCAAGCATGTGCTGACTAGTCATTTTTGTTTTTTGTATATATTTCACAGGGCTCTATGTTCAGCACACAAGCGCCGGATTCACACAACCTCTTCCTCACAAGTGCGGTCACGGATGGTGTGAAGATCTGGGACCTCCGTACACTTAGGTTGGTGTTAATATTGTCTGCTCTGTTGGATTTGTAATCAATGCATCTTTAATGTGAAAATAAGGCCAGAAAAGTGTGATTAAAAAGTCTATGTCTGTATATTCACATTAACTAAATACTCCTGTATTCAGGACCATCCCGTACTGTATGGCAAATAGTGCTATCCAAAACACCTCGCATACAATTCTTAAATGACTAAAGGCATTTGTAACACCTAACTTCTATCAGCATAACACAATATTTATGAAATATCTTCTTTTTTTTTTCTATTTCTGAAAGAAAGACCAAACCTTTTACATTTACTGTGATAAATAAAATTAATGAAACTGTTTGTACCCGATTTGTTTTTTGCCCGCTTTATAGTCTTAATCTCTGTACTCAGGCCTCACACTGGCTGGAGGGTCGCTTCATCACATCAGTCAAAATTATCTAAGAGCAATAAATGTTCATGCCCATTAAGGTAGAAACCATTATAGTTTTTTATTCCTCTGTTATTCCTGGAAGTGCAAACTGATCTTATATTCAAATTGCATCAACATTTTTTCTTACATAAACATTCCTCAGTTGATGAGTGAATCGGCAGTTCAATTTCCAAAGTATGTAGCTGAGAATATTTTTCTTTGGCCCTTAGTAGCAGATATCCATATAAGGGGGATAATTCAAGTAGGCTCCCTTGGATTTCAAAATGTTCTTTTTGGCCCGGTAGCTGGCATTATTGAGTATTTCATTCTTTCATGTCTGAGACTGCTTTCATGTTTAACTCCTCCATCCCAGACTCCATCAAAACCTTATTGCTGATAAATATTTGTGCCTGGTTTCCAGGTCAACTTCTGGTTCTGAGAGTTGTCATCAAGCATCCCCCAGCAGATCCTCTGAGATGAAACATTGGATATATGAAAACAATATGTAGAAACTTTTTTTTTCATTTTGTCAGCGCTGTTAATTTTATTTCCCTGTTGGATAAACCTTATGTATCTGTTCCTGTAGCTTATACGGACCACAAAAAGAATTACAGCTCCCCTAAATGAATGTTTTCTATCTATTTTTTTTATGTGCAGCTTTCCGCTAATGGAAGTAGTTAAGTCTGCTCTAGGTTTTATGTTCATCAAAATTATATAACAAGGTAATATAAAATTTCTTGGAACAATGTGTGGCATGAGTAAAGCGTACATAAGGTACTCATGTGAGTGCTCCTCCTAATCACATTATTTTATTCAGTGTAGCTTTTTCTTCCTTTTCTTCTAAATGCTTTGAGGCAGTGGTTCCTAACCTGGGGGTCGGGACCCTCACTAGGGGTCGCCAAAGCATCATGGGAGGTTACGAGGCCTTCTTGACTTTAAGTGGTGTAAGAGAACTTAAAAAATAACTGCATAGTTTTAATGTAGCATGTAGCAAGCTAATGAGAATACTTAAAGTTACTGGGGTTCATTCCTGGAAACGGCCAATGCAGTTATGTGCATATATTTTCCATTTTCCTCCTTGTATTGGACTGGTGGCAGAAGTTACAGTTTGCTGAACTGACCCATATAAGGTATTTATTAAACTTTAAGAAAATATTGAGAAGATAAAAAATTAGGGGTTGTTTAGCTATTGTAATGATGTTAATCCAACCAGGAGCAAACTTAATTGAAATGGAACTTACGTACCTAGACAAGACATTAACATTAAGTTATTTTATGACTTATTGTGCTTGTCCATAATTATTTGTGATGAATGGTATAAGCTATATAAGTTTATACTGTATATGGCCACTGTGAGCTAATGATAGTGTTGTTATTAGAGACACAACTCCATTGACAGAAACTCTAAGTTGGGACAAAACTGTATAATACTGTTTAGTGTCTTTGACCAAACTAGATAACCTCCAAAAAAAAAACATAATAGGAAATTAAATTTGACTAAGTGGAAACTTCTGAAACTAAATCTAAAATTTTATTTTGCTCTGTCACCTGAGAATCCCCAGCACTTCTTGCTCCTTCCTTTTCAGACAGAAGCGCAAACATGCACGATACCCATGTGTATCCATCAAAGATTGAATGGCGGTAATGGTTTTTGAAAGTTTGCCACACTTAAAGAAAGAGTTTTATAAGCAATGTCAACCACTGACTTGGTCACAGTTTATTTTTTAAAGCCCCCACCTTTCAGTTACCCTTTGTATTTCCAAACGATGTGTTTAAGTGTGCAAGGATCCAGTTTAGGGTTCTACACACCAGCAAATCAGACCCACTCAGATACTGATTCTAAAGATAGAGAGAACAGATGGGGATCTGTTTCTCTTTAGTTCAGTGATGTGTTCCCCTTAAATCTAGTGGAATTTCCATCATCTTATAAATGAAAGTTGAGCAATACATAATATACATCATGTATTTATTTCAAGTAACATCCAATAATGCAAGAAAAAGCAAGCTTTTGTCTGATTTGCACTGACACGGTTAAATTGGGTGAAATATATTGGCTTCAAGTAATGAGCTATGATTAGCCTGCTGATTGCCTTGATGACTGACACTGAATACCCAGGTGGATTCAGTAACCGCATAGGCTCCCACTCAAGAGGATCAGACCCTCCAGTGCAGTCTGGGTTAGTCATCAGGCCAATGCCGGATACTCATCATCACTCACACAACACGGAGAATGTGTGTGTGGGGGATTCAGCCCAGCATCTCCTCTCCTCTCAGTCAAAACATTAGATCCACATTCTGACCTAGAAAACCAGAAGAGTGTTTACTCTAACTTGTTAAACTGCTCCTTATCAGTGTGATTAGTGACAGGTTGTGTCAGCTCGACTGCAGACCTGAATGTCCAGATGTACTGACGCGGATTTAGAAACAGATATATCTCATTCATCTTGCTGTGCAGCCCTGTGTTGCAAAGGGCTTAGCACTAGTCCTTCATCTCCTCAGTCAAGGCTAAGTCTTGTCTTGTGCCTAATCACCTCTTTTTTTCCCCCACTTGATTGGCCTCATTAGCTGCCAATCATGCCAAATCTGTCAGCCCCTGTTTTCCTTCTTTAAAGTTGAGTCAAGTGTATGGCCACAAACTCTTGCATGCATGCCCTGCAGAACCTTCCAGGACCAGTTTTTTTCCTCTTCAGTCAGGTGGCCATTTTTGCAGCATTGTCAAGGCACTCCAGGTTTTTGGCTGAACCAGCAAAATCTAATGAGGTGTTCAGTTTCAGCCAGTGAAGCTCTGTGCCTCACTCTGTTGAGGGCCGTATGGGCAGATAGCATCATCGGATGAAACACCTTACAAAATCGAGTAATGCCGAGGAATACAAGATCACAAAAATCGTCATAGAGGTTTAACAACAATTCAACATTATAAGCTTCATAAAGTTTGTATTATTGCTTGGCAGTTGTATTTACTTGCACACTGGTACTGGGTATATCACATTTCTTAGTGGTCACCAGTGAATATGACCTACTTTTAGTCCAGCTTAATGACATTAACATGTGAATGTCAAACACATGCTCTCACCAGATCGTGTCAAAGCCCTGCCGGTCCCTGCCAGCATGCCAGCCCATATAGAGTCCCTTGCTTAGCTAGCTGTTAGTGGCATTGTAAAGACATTACATGCTGTTGCAAACCAAAACAAAACTGCACAGAAGTTGCACGAGGGGGCCATTCGTCATCTACTACCTTCTCTTTTTCTGTGTTTTGCTTGAGTCATGCTCAACTCCTTTTCCCCGGCCGGGTCAGATGTTTGTGAGATGCGAGTTATACTAATAGACTTTGCATTTTTGTTGTAACAGATTACTTCAACAAAACTGGCTGTGTGAAATGCATTCATGCCCATACCAAAGATTTCTTGTGAATCACTGCTTTGTAGATTATAATAATGTTTTTATTAGGGATGTCCCTTCTTATGTCACAGCCTTTCTTGGTTCAGGGGAAAATAATTTGTAATGGATTGAATTAGATTGTTTTTTATAAAGTATACAAATTATACACTCTTAATATGTCCATTGCAGTAAATTAATACACAAATTAAATATATATATATAGAGAGAGAGATTTAATCCTACAAGGATTAAGTAAAACTAAACTTGTATTATGACATCACCAGTCAGATTTTTAGTCTCTCCTTCACATTAGGTTGGTTTTGAGTTCATTGACCCCATTAATTCTCACCACTGTGTGCATCTCCTCCTCAGGTGTGTGCGTCGTTACGAGAACCATCTAAATCGTTGCCATCCATGCTTGTCAGCTATCTCACCATGTGGCCGGTTCATTGCCTCAGGCTCTGAGGATAACTGTGTAAGTTGTTATACTTTTTCCGTATACGCTGTGTGCATCATTATCCCCTGTATACACTCCTCTAGTTAAACTGTGTCTCAGACAGGTTGTTGATAAGCATAATTTCACAATGATCAGTCTATTATTTTCATTTATGTCAAATTGAATGGGGGGGGGAAGCAATTGAGGAGGCTGTCCATCGAAGCCACATCATCCAGTGTTTGGTTTTATGAATTTAGAGCAGTGACGAGCAGCAACGTATTCTTACTCACTACAGTTAGTTGTTTTATATATATTTTAAATACATTATAGTGTTTATATTTTAATTGACCTTGTAAAGAGGAAGATGAGCATGAAAACAGAAGCATATCTTTATTAGTTTCACCTCCATTTAAGGTGAGGACTGCTTGTGCTTGACTGTGCTTGACTCAGAGATTTTTATTTGGACTCTAGCCTTTTTCCATAGAAGTCAAATTCAACATTCATGTTGAAGCCGAACTGCTTAATTGCTTTTCCAGACTGTGTCTTATACTTGCTTTCAGGACATTTTCAGAAGACTGCCTCCCTTTTCCTTATCCATCTCTCTTTTCTTCTGGTGTACGTGCTTGTTGAAAGAAATGGAATAATATATGCATGCTGCTGGTTATTATTAATTACGGGGACTCAGCGCAGCACAGACATTTGAGAGCATCTCTGTCGAGATCGGATATTTCCAACGTTTCTCGGAACTCGGGAGAGTGTATAGTAGTGAGGTACACCGTATTTATTTGTAGCTGCCCTGAGACTTTCATAAGCCAGACACATTTGTACTTGTCTTAATATATCAAAAAGCAATCATGGAAAAAAGAACCTGAATACTCTAGAAAGACTCCCTAGATCATATTACACACTTTCCAAAAACATAAGGCCAAAAACAATCTAAGTGGAATATGATTTCAGTACGGTCGATACAAACCTATTGTATGTTCAGTTGAAATATGTATTATTTTCACCCGTTTTGACTTCTCCTTTTATCCCCTGACATGAAATTGATTATTTAGATGATAACAGTTTTCGTTTTTTAAATTGTAAATCGAGATGTATGCCCGATGATTTAGTTTTAAATCCCAGGCTGTATTGCCCCTGCTCTCCGCTTCAGTTACTTTTGATATAAACTGATACATCTGGGGGTCCATGTGATATTTCAGCATTCCACAAGGAACTTTTTTCTTCCAAGTATCTAATGCCCTGTTAGGCACCACACACGTCATATGCCTTAGACAGGAGATACTCTACCCATGGACCGTTTGACAGAGCTCACTTGAAGAGGTTTTTCAGAGAAACATAATACAAAACAGCTGCAGGAATCTGATGAGTTGTCGTCTGGTAACAAACATCCCCACATCTGTTTTTATCTGTGCTCATGGCACTGAAGCAAATGATCTTGAAACCGAGTTATTGTATTTAGAAAAAACAACCTGATAAAACATCTCACATCTATTCTATTTTAAATTTAAGTGTTGATTCTAAATGTCTACACAAGCAGTATGCAAATTTATTTTTGTGCCCCCAAGACCAAGTGTAAAATCCACACCTACAAATGACGGGAGAAAATAAAAATAATATATCTGAAGAGTTCATTAGGATTGTTATCAGTCTCAATGACCACTAACTTTTGAAGTGCTCAGTATTTTAGTGCTATGAGTGTGCAACAAGCTTCAAAGGCCAACAGTTTTTATTCTGCCAAAAAAGCCAGTGATGAGAATCAATATTACAGTATTAGGCATTGTAATGCTTGCATCAATGTACTTCATATCTCTTTTGGATTTGCTGCAGACTGTTAGGGCAGTTTTTTTTTATGTGTGTGTCTTGATGGTTTAAATTTGATACTTGCATCTTGCATCTGTTCAATACTTTGTAGTGCAACTTAGCACAACCTATTACAAGCTAGTGTACTCCAGGGTGTGTCATTACACTGTGGCATTACTCTATAACAAAATATCTGAAATGGCATTGTGCATCAGTGTTTAATGTTGCCTTACACAAGCAGTTGTACAAGCACTTTGATCAGGAATCTTTGCTGATTTTATAAAAACGAAATAAAACTAAGAACCTAGCAATCATTTGATGCCAACGTTCCATACTTAACACTTTCCAATGCTAAAGACATATTTTGTCTATCACTGAAAAAGTACTGAAATACTTGGCTGAAGATGTCTCCAGTCATTTGGAATAACTGATTGTGGCACAGTATTGCATGATTTTATGTGTGTGATTACTATCAACAAGAGTCACACTGTCTCGCCAATCTCTGAACATAGTCAGAAACCATGAAACTGTCATCAAAAAACTGTAAACTTTCCTATAAATTATTCAAGTGTTCAGACTGAATACTTATGAATATGGATGCTCTGTGGACCTCAAAATCTGAATCACTGCAAAGCTGGAATAAGATGAACTCAAAGTTTTCCCTCTAGGATGAAACAATCCTTAAAGCAAATCTGCATCCATTTGTGTTCATGTCTTTCCATTCACTTTGTATGTAGTTGTACCACATGTAATATGTGCTTCTTGTTCAACCTGAACTCACTTGTGTATTGTATCTATTATGCACATATAATGAGCTCATAAACTAATATTATATAGGTTGGTGATGTCCTATATTTGTATTTCACTGCATGGTTAGAGTTCATGTTCTTTTGTTCTTGCAATCCATGTCATTCATTCCAGGCTTATGTGTATGACATCCGTAGCAGCAGCTACCTCCACAAACTTCAAAAACACTCAGACACAGTGCTCAGTGTGACTTTCAACCCTGCCACACCAGAGGTAAGAACCTTTCTTTAACTTATGTCTTTGTGGTTCTGTCCCTTCCTTCTTCTGCTATGTATTCAGTGCCCCATCTCACAAAACTAAAAGATCTCATCATCTCAAATAAAGCACCAGCCCTATTTACTCTTCATCCCACTAAGCTCCCACAGAGTAAATATTTTGTACATATTCACTACATGCCTTACTTTTGCTTACTGACATCAGATATTGGACAGCTAAAGTTAAACCAGAGATTGACCTATGTTAACTCTGTGCCATCACGCAAGGGGACGTGCATACTGGCTAGTTTTGATTTAGCACCGCTCCCATACACACCCTAGCCATTACAACACCGCTAAGAAGTGAATTTGGATCTAATTCCAAATATGGTTCTTTATCTCGAGCATCTCGAGAGAGAAATGTTTCAAAGCAAAGATAAGAGGTCACAGTAAAAAACAGTGTCAGTCAGAGGTCACGTTTTCTTCAGTCCAAGACATTGCTTCACTTCATAACTTCTTAAGTTTTAATAAAGATGTCTATTTTTCTTTTTTTTTTATGATTTCACTTTGGAAATGTAAAATACACAATTCCAAAATATACTTTTTTTTCCACAAATATTTCATAGAGTCAGTTGGTTACACAAGTCTGCACTATCTTGTCTTTTGCAAGTGTTTCTAAAGAAGGAATGATGTCCTCAGGCTGAGGTCACATAGCAGGGCTTATTGAGACCATCCCAAAGTTTAGAGTGCATGGTTGGACATTTATGTCAGTGACCTCACACAATTTCTACTAGTAGCCAAGAAAGAATTCAGTACGTCGATTGAGAAATAATGAGAAATAATTGTAGTGTGTGTGTGTGTGTGTGTGTGTGTGTGTGTGTGTGTGTGTGTGTGTGTGTGTGTGTGTGTGTGTGTGTGTTTCAATTGTTCTCATCCTAGAATTTCAGTGTACAAAAATGCTGCTTGCATCTCCAAACACTTCTGAGACAACAAACTTTTTTTAGTGTTAGCCTCCTGGACCAATACCATTTTAATTTAAAATTTATATCCCCCAAATCGCTCTGTGGCTTTAACCAGTGGTGGCCAGTTCATAATCCAATCAGATAAGAACTACCGCTCTTCCGTGCCATAACCCTGTGGAATCTAAAGACTTGCTTTGTGCACTGTGCTCCTCTACTTTTATGACTGGCTGCCTGCAGGGTTGTTCCAGCTTGTGATTGGCTGCGCAGTTACACAAAAGATGTATACAGGGTTGTGCATGTTCGGTTCAGGAGCTGTTTTCCAACTTTCCTGTTAACTGTTAACTGTTTTTTTTTTTTTTTTTAATCCCTTGTCGTTTTGTTGCACTGTGTCTAATAGGATGCGACTGAGACAAAATTCAATATTGATTATGTCAGTGCTTCAGTTTGTTTCTGTGATGTGGCTGTTTATTTCAGATTGTCCCCACAATGAATTAAAAGCTGGTTTCCTTTCTTGGACTAAATCTAAACTGGTAGATATCTTAGAAATTCAGGGACTGTAGGGAATCTAAGTTTGCAGTGCTACTTTATACCAGTATCCTTTCAATGTCTCCAACAAAATCTCCAGAGCAATTCTTACAGAGCAACAAAAATTCCCTTTAGAAATGTTTTATTGTCCAGTTAATGATTTTCCTTTGGAACTATTCAAAGTAGATTTGAAAAAGAAAGCTTTAAAATATAATATCACATCCTCTGCCGGACGTCTCATGAGACTTCTTGTAGACTGTCTTCTGGACTTGAAGCACATGTTTTAAATCTGCATGTCCGTCTGTGTAACTCCATTCAGTTAAACGTTGCAGCACAATGATACATTCAGACTTCCAAGTTTGAAAGTGGAAAGTTTGATCCATGGCCATTTACTGGCTGAATTACAGTAATCTGCAGAGTTTGAAGACACACTTCATCAGTCAGAGCATGCTCACTCCCCATCACTACTTCTGCACATTCTGTTTTGTTTAGTAAGACATGTGGTCAAAGCAGAAACCCATTAAAAAATCAGAAAGGTTGGCTCTATTTGACTAATCCTTTCCACCACAGGTGTCAGCTGATCGATTAGAATATTACTTTAATCTTTATCAAGATGAAAATGTAAATGATAAATTAGTACATGAATGTGAACAGTTGCAGTATTACTTCTCACAAATTATTTCCACATGGAAATCTGGCCATATTTTTTTTCTAAATGTTCAAATTTGTGCAAATAAACAAAACCTTTTCTCTTCAGTGTAATATTAAATATGAGATGGAATTCATCTTTTTTCTTTAATCTCCTATTGGCCATCGCTTGTTTCTGTTCTCATATTTGTGTCATTGACCATCACATACTGCAAGAAACTGCCAAGATTTGAGCCGTTTGAAGTCATAAAACTCACAAATGTATGAAAAATACGGAGGGTTCCAGAGGGTCTGCAGCTAAATATAGAGCTCTGACAAAAATCAAAATTTCCCCATGAGCACATCCTGAAAGCATGCTAATGTTCCTAACATAGGATTTATGTTGTGTTGACACATAGTGACTGAGTGAGAGCTGCCGAATCATAAAAAACCTCAGTTAGGCACATTACCCACACCTTGGTGAGCTCTACCAGGGGAGCTATCCGGGCACCCGTGGGTGACTAGGATTTAAGTTGACCTCATGCTTTCAATATACTATATATATGTTTACTTTGGTACTATAATTGCCTGACTCATTCAAAGCACAGAAATAGTTGTTCATGTTCATGTTCAAATAAACTTGTCTTGTCATCCTAACCAATAGCCAGTTATACTGTAGTTTATTGAATTACAGCCTTTTATTACACAAGCAGTTCTGCATTGGCAAACTGTCTGCTCCAGTGATTGTCAAGCAATTGTCTGAATGCAATTAGAACACGGCTGGAGACAGTCTTGTCCATTCACCACTGCACAGCTACCTTTTGTCTGCCCAGCCGAAGGGACAGAGCTGTTCTTGATCAGTGACTGTAATCAGCATTCCCTGTTGCTTATTTATTCTTTCTCAGGACCTCTTAGAGGGAGGACAACTTCTTGAATTCTTGTAGAATTTAGAAAAAACCATATGAAATTTATAGATTCACATTCTTTCAGATCTTCTTTTTAGTTTTCCTCAATTAAATTATGAAGAATCCCAACCTGAGGTCTACTTGCAAGCTTTCAACTGTGTCTTCATTTGTGGAGGGAGTTTTGTTATTGAGATGGATATGCTTACATAGCACCTTCTCGTCCATGTTAGCTTAGTGTCAAGGGTTAAGGCAATTTATTTGTCATTGTACAACACAAGAAAGCACAAACAAATGAAAATTGTTGTTTGAGCACCATGGATGTTGATGGAGCAAGTCTCTGTAAAGATGTGGACAGTCTCTGATTTGCTGTTGTTTGGCCAGCCTGAGTCCCATTTTGTCCAAACTGGACATTAGCCAGGAGCAGCCTTAAGTCAAAACTCGGCCAGCACGGCTCCTATTCCGGATCTCTTCTTCTCCTCCTGGGGCGATCACAGCACCGGCCATGGTGGACTGGTTAGGCTTGGGTGGATTGTCTCAAGGTCTGCTGCATCGTAATCCAAACCTCTTCTTCCTTTTCCGATGACTGTAGGCTGTTTCTGTCATAGGTAATACATGTTTCAGCAATGAAGCCAAAAAAATGAAAGATTAAAACAAAGCCAAGTTTGAGGGAGCTACCAGCTGCTGCGTATGTGTGCGCTGCCTTTGCTATGTAGTCAAAATCTCCTGATCCAGTCAATTTGAACCAGTAGGAAATACGATCAGACATCATTCAGTGATGTTTCAGCAATAAAGCCAAATAAAATAACAGATAAAAACAAAGTTTGTTGCAAAGTTTGAAGGAGCTACCAGCTGCTGCATCTACATGAACCACTGCCATGGTATACAAATTAAAGTTCCTACCAAAATTCCTCAGTAGGGCTGCATGATATGGTAAAATCATCATATTGTAATTATTCTGACAGATATTGCGATATGATTTGAAATTAGTGTAGGAATGTTTTTTAATCACAAATTTAATTTTCACTGGGGAAAAAAAACTATTAAAGTCATGATGATGTGACTTTTTTGGGGTCTGTAACTAATAAACATGTTTTCATCAGGAGAACACGATTTGTAGGCCAGGGCATCGCTTCACAACTGCAATATTTCATTATAATGGTCTTTAGTCACATATTTTACCTTTTATGTGGGTTGTTTTGAGACAGAAATATCTCATTCATCATTACAATTTGGTACTTAGATGGGTTTAAATGGGATTAATACAGTTGTAAAGAACTAGTGAAATGTTGTTGACATAATTGCTGCAGATTTATTTTGGTGCTAAACATTGCAGGGTCCTGTTAAACAGCTGTCAGATTAAGCACACTGATGGCTTGATGATGTAGCCTCCTTATGCAACATTTCAACCTCATGACGTGGTTAGACATGGGAAACAGTAGTTCAGTTTGTGTCAAGAAAATCTTTATACAATATCTGTGAAAATGTGAGGATGTATGAATAAGTATTACAAAGATGGAGTTGAGAGTCCAGAATCTCACTCCTTCAGTGCACTCATCATTAATATGAGCACTCTGCTTAATATTACTTAGCATGAGATTTATCATAGATACACACATAGAGAGTTACAGAAACCTCTCCTTCGTATTAACTGAAAAATATTTTTTCCTATTCCTCAGACAGTTGATCTTCTACTGATTCATTGAGTGCCTGGCTCAGCTTTGGGAGGCTGCTTCTAGTTAAACTTGATCCAGTTGATCTAATATCTGACTGCAGTGGATGCATACATATTTATTTTTATTTGTATTTTGTTCTGTAAATACATTCGTAAAGAAGTCTTGGGGAATAGCTCAGCAGTCTTACAGTTAAGGCCATGTTATATCATGATGGTAACATCACTGTATTTCCTGAGCCTGTGCTTTCTCCTTGCCAAGACCTGAAAAAATACTGACAAAAAGTGTCCCCAACCTGTGCTCACCTTTCTTTCTAGCCACATTTGAGAG